AAATTAAACAAAAATCCATCAATGGTTAAATAAATTGCATTTCCTGTGAAAAAGCAGTGTGAATGCATGCTGAAAGATTTTTGCTGAAAGCTGCTGAAGTCAAGCTGAAATATTTGAAAACTGATAATGKGAATTTGATCAACTGATTTTAGCTGAAAGTCAGAAAGCAAAAATGTATCAAAACACTGAACTGAATGTAGCTACTAACGGAAAAATAATGAGAAATTAGCTTAATAAAATGAAAATGCTGAAATTAGCAGAGCAGCTGAAAGAAGCACAAAAAAGTTACATTTGGCAGAGGAATTGTTTAAAGGACAGATAGCTGAAATTTCAGAGAAAAGTTGAAATTAGCAGAAATGAAGCTGAAATTTGAACAAAGAAGCAGAAACAGTATAACAGATAAGAAAGTGCAACAAAAATCTACGAGGATTTCAAATGGTTTAAAGCATGTGGAATGTTTTCACGTTTCGTTCACTTTCAATACAAAAAAATTATCCGAAAAATCTAAATAGCTAATAAATAAATAAATAAATAAATAAATAAATAAATAAATAAATAAATAAATAAATAAATAAATAAATAAATAAATAAAAAGAAAGTATAAATTACTGAATTAACACGAATTATAGCTGAAACCTGCAGAAGGAGCTGAACGTTTTGGTAGGCTATATGAACTGTTGAAATAGCACAAAAATTGCAGGATATGCATGCCTATAAAATGTACCGAAGAAGTAAACAAAGAAAATTAAAGAAAAACACCAAAACAATGTTTAATAGATATTTACACTAATAAGATAATAAAACTTAGTCTCTTTTCTTAACACATGTCCAACTATTCTCTATGTGTAATTTGTGAGAGTGTGCAAGCAGCAGGTACTCCTTACTTTGTGGGGACCATTTTTGACGTGCACACCTACTTTGGGGGACCAACTGGTACTTATATGGGGACCTAAGCCTAGCACCCGTGAGGGGAAATGTCACAAGTGATTTGGGGGTTCGGTTTAAGGTGTAAACTGAGTTTATGTTAGATTTAGGGTTAGGTGTGTACCTGTGAGGTTAGATTTAGTAAGGGGTCAGGKTYAGGCTGTAGAAATGAATGGAAGTCAATGCAATGTCCCCATAAAGATAGYTGTACTAGACCACGTGTTTGTGAGTGTGTGAGTGAGTGTGTGTTCAAGTGTGACATCAAGTAATCGTCACACTTAGGCTGGCTTCCCTTCTGCCAACCACAGCACATCAGAGCTGCTGCTTTCTTCCTGAGCAGGTCTGTAACGTGAACTTTTGGAAAATGTCTGACTGAAGAATCATGAAGCAACTCGACCTGTTTTGTCAAATGTAACACTTTCCAAATATCAAGACGCTTTTCTGTAAAGCACAAGTTTTCCATCGGATCATTCGTCCTTTTACTTCTGCCCCATAAAATGCTGGCAAGAGGAGGCTGCTCTCCTTTGTAATGGCTTCTCTCGGTTCCTCGTTCTATTACAAATGATACAACAGTTAGTTAAGACCCCACGAAACATTTCATTTTCTATCCTTCTAATTAAATGTGTCTCAGATGAGCCCACTGAGCCCACTCGTCTGGTTGTCCTCCATTTGGAGTGCCACCAGAGTTTAATATACGGCATTAAACAGGGATTGAGGATGAAAATGAAGCCCACCTCCCAGTGGGGAATGTAATGGATGATTATAAGGCATAATCTTWGTAATACAGAAATCCTTTAGTTCCTGTCATTTTAGTTAAGTTATTGTCTGTTAAATATGGTAATAAATTTGGCTATTTTAAGCATGGTTCTGATTTCTTTTTATGGTGAGTTGAGTTATAAAAGACATTTGTTGAAAATGCTTTGATAAGCTTCATTTTTTCTCTAATACATAAAGGTGTTTATTTAATGACAGACTGTTTCCATATGTTGTTTCATTTAAATATTTTGCTATTATTTTGTGAACTGCTTCTGAATTAAAATTTGATCAATTTTATAGAACCTCAGAGGCAAGTGAAATTCACAAGGTGAAAATAAAAAAGAGTTTGTTATAAGATGCACATAACTCATGCTGTGATGAGGATGATTTTTAATAAATGTTAGAATTAACAAAGTCACTGGAACAGCAAATCAAAACGTCACTGATTGTTGGATAAGATTCTAAGAATGCAGACTTATTAGTGGATGTCAAACTTAACTGTTCGAAACAGCAAACAAATACACTGATGTGGCAGTTTAAAGAGATAGTTCAAAGATTTTGAGATGGAGTTCTGCAAAATGGTTATGAATAGTAATTATCTTACCTGTTGYGGATAGCTCTTTGAGTGAACTCAGTTTGAGGAAAGACTAGTTTAATTCACAGATTCACAAGCTTGTCCAAGAGGGATCAAGTAGATTGTTGATCCTAAAATTTCTCCAATCTCAAAAATTTAGTGTCTTGCACAAAATCTACTTTAGAAACCTTTATAATGTCCTCAGTTTTGCATTGCATGGCTTTATCTAAAATTGTATGGATATTTGCAAGTGTGCAAGTGCAAATAGCAGCAGCAGCACCTCAATGTAGCTCTTCCAATGCAGCCCYGGGGCACTTCTGATAGGAATATCATAATATTTCTGCAGGAATAGCTGCGTACAGTGCTAGAAAAGTTATAAAACCGTGTTTGCATGAACTGCCATGAAGCTTTCTGAGATTTGAGTTGTTTTAAGATCCAGTTTGGTCCTGGCTTGTCTTGTCAAAATGAACTGTTATGAAACTTTCCACAGAACCCTATTTCAAATTATTTGAACTACCTCTTTAAGCACCACCTTAAGAAGAAAAAAATCAGTTTAATTTGTTTATTGTCCCAGTGGGTATATTCTGATTGAATCCCTGATTTAAGGAAAGCTTTTGTAGTTGTGTATGTAGTACTTAAGCACATAAGTAATTCTTCTTATAATGCAGAGGCTACTTAAGCATGCCTTTACATTATCTGCAAATGCTCTTAACTTGCATCGCGAAAGTGGGACTCCTCTAGCAGTAAGATCATACCTAAGTGCACCCATTGTGCAGTGAGGAAGGAAAAAAAATTACTCGATACAGTAAAGTCAGTAGTAAACTTCAAGGCAGCCTTGCTACATGAAGGTCCAAAGGGAAGCAGAATGAGCTGCATACAGGACTATTAGCCCTCAGTAACACAGTTGATGCATTAGCTCTATACTCYGCTTGTTAACCCTGGAGACTCCAAACCGATAAATCCTGGTTTAAGAGTTCTGGCAACCCCAGAGCTCACRCAGCAGCTAGTGTCCACTGTTGCACCACCAATGGATCAACTCTTCATCAATAGATCTACAGTCTGTGAAGCAAAGCATATCTTTAAAAAAAAGTCCAAACTTCTCGTGCAAAAAGAGTGCGACCTATTTTGACCTGAAATACAAAAATATAAATCAATAAATGTTAAATGTCTATAAGAGTCACAAGCAACACGTAGCAGCGTCAGATGAGACGACTCATCTGGCTAATATTTATTCAGAAGCATCTGAGGGGCTTCTGTTGTGTGTTCTAATGAATAAAACACGATGTTTATCCTCCCTGTTTAACATTAAGTCCCCGTGAACAGTCACAGGGACCATGGGAGAATATTTACTTGTGTTGGGACACCAGGGAGATGGATTATCTGCTGGCGGCTTTGTAGTTTTCTGAAGCTTCCCCCGTGTGACATGTTCCAGGGAGAGTGCTCCTATTTACTCTCCGCTCCTGTGTGTATAGCCCTGCTTATTGTTTGTTCTCATGTGCCACAATGTGCTCCAGGAGAGACAGACAGAAGCAGAGAGGCACTAATGCTGTGATCAAACATGGGATTGAGGCTGCAGAGTCCAGGAGGACAGGCGTCAAGATGCTGCCACTATTCCATTAGAAAAAAAAAGGGAACTTTGTTCTGACAATGATGAGCGTTTATTATAAATATTTTATCAAGCTACAGAAGAGATGGGGGGGAAATGAGTTCACAAATAAAAATCCAAGTGTAGTTCTCAAATACGCCGAAAGGTGGCGACATTGGGTTTCCAAACAGTGACCGAAGCAATCACCCTCACTAAAATAAAGTGCTATTTATTTTGTCTTTATATAAACAACCTATCTGCCAGCTAAACAAAGCCTTTAGTGAGTAAAACCCTCAAATAATTGTCTGTGAGAAATAAAAAAAAGTTGACTCTGACTTAGCAATTAACAAGTAACCTTTGTAATAAATGACAAACTGGTGTAAAATTCTCTACATGCACGTTATATGAGACCAAGATTAATAAAGTCGGACTTCTCAGCAGACTGTTCCAATAAAATCACACTGAATCGATTCAGTAAAATCTGTATTAGAAAATAAAATATTCATATAGGTTTTTTTTCCTTATATCTTTTTTAAAAGTGACAAAAACCTGCATAGTAAATGTATAATCAATCTTTTGAGGAGCTCAGACAGTTCAAATAAACTTTAGTTACTTTACTACTATGTTAATTACTTCCCCGGACTGGGCTGCTGATTGGCTGGGTCTCAGTCAATTTCATATTTCAGCCCTGACGTCAGGACGCCCATAAAACTAAGCAATGCTTTTTAACTCGTCGGCTGACTGATCTCTTTAAAAAAAAATCTATCAATCGTTGGGTGGAGTTTTTTTTTTTTTTTTTTTTTTCCTCCTCCATTCTCCACAAGGCAACTATTTGCCCGGGACACATACGTGAACCTCCTCAAATTGGCGCACTAATCCTAAAAGGAGCCATGAAGTGTTAAACGGTAGAAACAGAGAGAGCGGCGCTCAGACACCCGCAGCTGGGAGAGAGGGAGGAAACAGCGCAGCTCCAATGCGTCTGTGCAACACAGACTGAAGAAGAAAAAAAAAACTTATCGACTCACAAAACCAGAACCTGCGCTGCGCAATTAGTGCGGGAGAACTCACTTTTTCTCCGGTTTTGAAGAAAATAAATAAAGAAATCAAGCTGGCTCAGTGCGTGTCTCAGCAGCCCACTTTGACAGGTGCTCCTCACCCCCTTTGGAGGACTGTCAACAGCAAGAGGATGGCATCAGAGCTGGCAATGAGCAACTCCGACCTGCCCACCAGTCCCCTGGCCATGGAATATGTTAATGACTTCGATCTGATGAAGTTTGAAGTGAAAAAGGAGCCGGTGGAGCCCGATCGCAGCATCAACCAGTGCAGCCGCCTGGTCGCCGGGGGATCCCTGTCTTCCACCCCGATGAGCACGCCTTGCAGCTCGGTTCCCCCCTCTCCAAGCTTCTCTGCGCCCAGTCCGGGATCAGGGAGCGAGCAGAAGACGCACTTGGAGGATTTCTACTGGATGACCGGGTACCAGCAGCAGCTGAACCCCGAGGCTCTGGGCTTTAGCCCAGAGGACGCCGTAGAGGCGCTGATCAGCAGCAGTCACCAGCTCCAGACCTTTGATGGCTATGCCAGAGGGCAGCAGTTCGGCGGCGCAGCCGGGGCAGCGGGCGCCATGGCCGGGGAGGAGATGGGGTCAGCGGCCGCCGTGGTGTCCGCGGTCATCGCCGCAGCCGCAGCCCAGAACGGCGCCCCCCACCACCACCACCATCACCACCACCACCACCACACAGGGGCACACCACCCGAGCTCCGGCTCGCAGTCCGGCGGCGGCGCGGGGGGCAACCACCAGCACCTGCGCCTGGAGGAGCGCTTCTCGGACGAGCAGCTGGTGACCATGTCGGTGCGGGAACTGAACCGGCAGCTGCGGGGGGTCAGCAAGGAGGAGGTGATCCGCCTGAAACAGAAGAGGAGGACGCTAAAGAACAGAGGCTACGCGCAGTCCTGTCGGTACAAGCGGGTCCAGCAGCGGCACGTCCTGGAAGGGGAGAAGACGCAGCTCATGCAGCAGGTGGACCACCTCAAGCAGGAGATCTCCCGGCTGGCCAGGGAGAGGGACGCCTACAAGGAGAAATACGAGAAGCTCATCAGCACCGGCTTCAGAGAAAACGGAGGCTCCAGCAGCGACAACAACCCTTCATCTCCAGAGTTTTTCATGTGAGTCCCGGCGCCGAGAAACTTTTTCCAAACAAGCAAAAAAACAAAACAAAAACAAAACAAACATGAAACTGTTCATTTGCGCGCAGCTTTTAAAGCTTTTAGGCGCTTTTGTTCAAGTTGCATGTATTAAAAACTCCATTATTTTTTCCCTGTCACTTAAAAAAAAACATTTTGTGGCAAAGTGCGGCTCTTCTTTGGTTAAAGTTTTACTTATTTTAAAGAAAACAGAAACTTATAAAAGACTAAATCTCGGGCTCAGCGCTTTGTGTTTCACTTCAGTGTCGCTGCGCTCAGAAACCTTCTTTTTGCGCCTCGTTTTCCTTCTTCAACTAAAAAAAAAAATTCTTTCAGTAAAAGTTACAAAGTCCTCAGGCAGCGTTATTTGACCCGATCTGAAGTCAAATGATCAGAATGTTCTCCTCTTTATTTTTGATCTGACTTGTGGGAAATTTCTTTTAAAAAAATCCAAACTTCACTTCAGGAGTTTGGATCTGCTGTTTGTGAAGTCATGCATGCTGGTCGTGCACAGATTGTCTTTTATTTTGTTTTATTGTTCTTATTATTATTTTTCTTCCCGTGTGAACGTGTTGTGTTATGAATGCATTGTTCAAATCCCATCAACTCAACAGATAAAGTATATACACCCCTTTTTATTATAATACATATATGTTTCAATTTCTCGTGATGAACCGCACAAGTTTGTGGCTCGTGATTGAGCCACGTGGGGAAAATGAGCGTAAAGCAACTTTTGTCCTCAGTATTGATTCATCACAAAGGCCTCTCAGAGAGCTGGAGGACCAACAACTGCAGATTCGGCTAAAAATCTGTCCTGATAATTAAAATGACTGCAGACCGATCAACAAGTGGGACTTGAAATTAAATTAAACGAAGCAGAAAAGCTTTAAAAAAATCTGCAACAAATGGAAAACTGAACAATTTTGGTGTTTCGTTTTTTTTTATTTCAGATGTGTTGTTGTTTTTATTTTTACAATAAATAAAGTTATTTTTTTCTCTCATTCATCTCCCGGATTTGTCAGTTAAATCCTGAGAATTAATCTCCATGCATTCCAACACATTAATTCTCCTCATCTTTTTTTCATTTTGTTCATTTTTGCCTGTTTTTCCCCCCTGTTCTTTTTATTCATTCCTCTCCTTAATRAAACTATTTCCACACTTCAGCAGAAATGAGTCAGACAGTTTGCTGCAAACATTTAGCGATTAATTTTAAGAACATAGATCATAAATTTAGGACGTGGTGTCATCTCTGTGATTTTAGTATAAGATTAATTATTGCAGGAAACAGGTGTGTTTTTCCC